TAATCTACTTTGACACGCAATGTTGGATCGTATAGGTTGCAAGAGTGTTAGGATTTGTTAGACTAAAATGTAACATCACACGATGAAGTTATTTACTATTGACCTGAATTATGTTGATACGTACAAACTACTTCATTAGAATCTAGGAGACATCTCTGACCAAAGATTCAAGACGCGCGGTTGACATGATTCAAAATACACCACTGATGGAAGTTCACTACTTATCTGCTCTTAAATACTGAGTTTTAAAATCATCTTTTACTCATTATTCCTTGAATTTATTCTTTCTCTTCAAATCATATTATTCATATGTCATAACACTTCACTATCATTGTATGTATTACTATTACTTTGACATTTATTTTGATAATTTCATTCGGCTGTCATTTAGTTGCAATGTTGAACTTGGTACGTATATACATCAGATCGAGCTGCCATACCACGTTAGCACATATGAAACTGTCAAGCCAAATCTTAGAGTAGTAGCAATGTTAGTGGTAGAAAATTAGGAATCGAAGATAAAATTCGAAAAAATAGACAGCAGTTGAATAAATCGTTTAAGAAGGTCATGAATAATTAGGGAAAATAAGGATTTTGGGACAAGATAAGGAATGAATGCACCTGTGTCTTTGCAAATGATTTTGAGCGATGTTATTCCAGGTCGCTAGCCATTGGTTACAATAGGGTAGTCTCACAGCTACTAACTAATATGTCTCAGTCTAATTGTCATTTCGTTGAGGTGATATGAGTAATTATTTACAACTGTCTGAAATTTCTAATCAGTACTATAACACACTACTGAGAATCGATCAATGAACAACATACACACCATTTCAAACTGTAGATATGTTGAAAGTTAGATTTAATCAATTCAAATCAAATCCTTATTCCTCAGTAAGTGTAGACTACCAGGTTAGGATCCGCGACATGGCTTAAAATCATTTGCAATGGCACAAGTGCATCCATTCTTTGTATTCTCTCACATTTCAATCTTCTCAATTTCTCGTTACCTTTATTTTTCTCTATCTAAATTTATTTCATTAGATTATACTTCTTCAATGACATCTTTGAATCCTAATCTTCTTTCTCTATTACCGCTAATACTTCTACTATCTCCTACCACTATGGGATTTGAATTAACAATTGCATCTTCATAACAATATGGTATAACAGACAGACAGACAGATACAACACAGAACTTCCTACGTAAGTACATCAGACCAGGTTGCCATGCCCCATTAGCAGAGAGATGCAACTGTCAGTTCAAATTCAAGAGTGATAGCGATAGTAGAAGCATTAACAGTAATGGAGAAGATTAGGAAGCGAAGATATGATTGGAGAAGTATAATTCAGTAAGATAAATTTAGAAGGAGAAAGGTGGAGATTATGAGGAATGCAGAAGCTTAGAATTTCATAGAACACAAAGAGTGGATGCACCTGTCCCACTGCAAACGATTCTGAACCATGTCGTTCAAGTTAATATAGTATGACAACTTGGATTGATGTACGCGCACGTACAAAGTTACACGTTGTAGCTGACTAATTTTCAAAAAAAAAAAATAAAACAGACGTCTAACAAAATTAGTGTCTAAACCAATACTACTACTACTAAAACCTATTCATTATGATGACAATCAAACTTACTGGTTCAACAGTTTACTTTCAATAGTTAATCCACAAAAACAACTTCGTTCAACTTGATGATAATAATACAATAACAATAACAACAACACAGTGAATTTTAAAAATAACACATTTTTGAAACCATGAACCGATCAATGTTAGACCATCATTAGAAACCTGGAAGCACTGAACGGCCGTTTCGTCCTGGTATGGGACTCATCAATGGCAGTGCGCATCCACGACTCCTGCATCCCGCAGTATTCGAACCCAGGACCTTCGGTATTGTGCGCGAACGCCCTAACCATCGGACCACTGAGCCGGTATCTAACGGTGTTAATGTCTAACTTGATCAAATTCACGGAGTTGCGCAACCTCATGCACAGTCTTCGGTGGACACTGCCTACATCCGAACAGGAGAAGTCCCGTACTAGGACGAAACGGTTGTCCAGTGCTTCCAGGTTTCTAATGGTGGTCTAACATTGATCGATTAATGGTTTCAAAAATGTGTAACTTAACAATCTTCACAACCCCGTAATGCAAATTTTAAAATTCATGATATTTATCATTTTTAACAATAACAAATGCCGAAATTCTTTTCCCTTTAATCTGTAGTGCCTCCACATATATTCCAGTTCTCTTACATCTAACTTGGTTAAACCCTTTCGATTAATTTATTTAATCAAGCCATAATTTGTATTGCAACAACTCATATGTATCATTGGTATTTTTTATTATCTGATTTGTATGAGCTTGTACGACTGAGCATTGCTTACGCCTACGCGCTGACTCATCCTTTTCGCTTTAATGTTCATCTTTCTTAATATCCCTATGAACTCACATGATTTGTATCGCTTGCTTTTGACCCTTGTCAATCATTCATCGCTCTTATTCATGTGTGTGCATACCTATTTCGCTTGTCATGTCTATCTTATTTTTATCTGACTATATATTCTTAGTCATGTTCTATCTCTTTGAGTTGGCTCACTAGCCTTCTCCAATTCGCTTTGCCCATTCGTTCGCATTGTAATCCAAAGAGTTGGCTCTTAGCCTTCTCCAATTCGCTTCTCCGCTTCGCTTTGTAGTGTACCTCGAATAAACGTATTCATCAATACGAGTTCATCTTCTGATTTATAAACTGAGCTTAAGAACACGCAGTAAATCGGCACACTACAAATCAACATGCCTATTTTTTCTTGGTTGGTTCGTTTGATTTACATAACTTCAAACTTATGTAACTATCTCTGAGATTATAAAAAAAACACAAAAAAATAATAACCCTGTATCACGAAATAAGAATTATTTCTCTCTGGTAACAAAAAAATGGGGATTATACAAAATTTTTTTTACAATTGTTGTCTGTGTGAACGATATTATGCATGATGACGTGGCCGCTTTGATCCAGTTCGATTCTTTAACTTCGTGTTTCCTTGTTTCTTAGATTTCAGATGATGATGATTAGGCTTTGTTGGTTTGCTTTTCTTTGAATCTTTTTGTTTTTCACCATGTTGGTGGTTGTGGCGACGGCGGTTGTTATGTTTACTAAAACTATTACGACTATTATTACTATTCTGTGAATGTAAACGTTTTTGTTCCCAATAACGTTGACGTTTTTCTTTACTTGTTTCTTGTACATCATATAAATGACCAATTTCTTCAGCACTTGCAAATAGATTATTTAAATTGAATTGACTAAAAAAAGCAAGTAAGGAAGTAAGTCGAAAGAAAAAGAAAACGGATCAGTGAGTTGAAATGATAACATGTTTTTTAAGTATTGATTTTATTGGAAAAACATTTCAGTAGTTATCAACATAATCATCAACAGCAACGTAGAACTTCGTACGTACATACGTACATTAGTTAACGATCGCTAACCATCGACTACCATCATTTCGCAGGCCCCAATCAGATAGTCAACACCTACCGACATGACTCAGTTCACTTGTCAGTGACTTCATGCATTTCTGCCATGTTTTGGTTTGGCCGCCTCTAACTTTCTTCCAACCTATTCCTACATCACAAAACATAGCTCTTCGAGGCAGTCGGTGATTAGCCATACGCAACATATATCCCAACCACCTCAACTGATGAAGTTTCATTACTTCATCTATTTATTGACCTACCGTCCTTCAGTCAGTCAGTTGCAACGTAGAACTACGTACGTATGTACATAAGTTCATGTTGCCATACCACATTATTAGCACAGAGACGCAAATGTCAAATCAAATCCGATAGTGATAAAGATAGTAGAGGTATTAATGGTAATGAAGAAGACTAGGATGTGAAGATATGATTCGAGGAGTATAATTCAGTGAGATAAGGTTAGAAAGACAAACGTAGAGGTGTTGACGAATCCAGAAGATTAGGATTTGAGAGAGCACAACGAATATGCACTTGCGCCGTTGCAAACGATTTTGAACCATATCGTTCAAGGTCTCTAACCATCGATTACTAACATCTCGCGGACCCCAAACAGGTAGTCTACATCTACCAACATGACTCAGTCCACTTGTCAGTGACCTTATAGATTTGTGCCATGTTTTTGTTTGGCGGCCCCTAGCTTTTTCTTCCAACCTACTCTTAGACCACAAAACAGCTCGTCGAGGCAGTCAGTGGTTAGCCGTAGGTAACACATGTCCAAACAACCTCAACTGATGAAGTTTCACCACTTCATCTACTGATCTGCCATCCTTACCCAGTACTCGTTTCCGAACGACAGCATTGCTTACTCGGTTGTCCCACGATATACGAGCAATGCTTCTTAAACATCTATGATCGAATACCCGTAACAGCACACGAGACTAAATTGGTCAAAATCAAATCCTTCCTATACCCCCTAATACCTACAGTCCTTACCTAGCATCATTCGTTATACACAACGAAATTCCAATATCTTAGTTCTCATGTAAGTTTTCTTCAACTAGATTACTTGTATTAATGAATAAGTAGTGCTGATCACTTTATTTAGTATAAAACATATTTTAAATATGCAAGGTAAGTAATTGTTTTTGGTTGAAATAATTAGCTTCATCAGCCAGTCAGTCAACCAGAAATTCGAAAGTGTCAACTAACTAACTAACTAACTGTCTTATCCTATAGTTTGTAATGTTGCCTATTGAATTCAGGCTGATGTTGTAGTAACTGAGACTTCCAGTTAACCTTGAAATCAACTGTATACTCAAACAACAATTATTAAGATTAGTAATTAAAGTAGGTCGAGTATGAAACGATTTTATAGCCATAAAACTGAGATTGAACGTTTTTTTTCTAATTTTACACATTAGTAAACCGATTGAAATTAAGAATTGGAAATTCAATCATAGGTTTTGGATAAAATAGCAAGCAAATACATTAATTTGATATATCGTATGTACAGTAAACAAATTGCCAATCATATTAATTATCCAATGTAAATAGTTTTTTTATACAAGTTGTTTTCATAGTAAACATATCATATTATAGGAAAAGGGGAATTTCACACATTGATTGTCGGGATGAAAAAAAAGGCATTCATTGAAACATTGATCGATCGATATAAGTTTTTTTTCAAATGCAAAATAAACAATCAACCACACTTAAGAAAATAGAAATGGAAGTTTTGGCATATAACTGAGGTAATGCATAGAATGAATAATTGTTTTAATGATACAATTAGCTACTTTAATAAATTTCAGTAGTTTATGTGTTGATACATATAAAATGTCTATTGAGTGAATAAGGACCGAAACAATAGCTTAACATTTTTTGTCAGTAGTTAGTTCTCAATGAAGATGCTCTAGTCACTGGTTTCAAATAAGTGTAAAATATAAATATAAATAATGGCATTATTAACCAGTTAAATTTCAGTATTTAGATAATAATAATAATATAAAGTAACTGGAGACAGTCAGCGAGAAACCGTGTTTGACTAGGGTGACGAGTTAGTTGGCACTCGTTACTTAAAGCAACATCTGAAGGGAAGCACAGGATACAGTGGACAACTAGGATGGAGCTGGACTTCGCAGATAATCTGGTTCTTCTATTGCACACGCAACAGACAATGCAAGAGAAGACGATCAATGTAGCAACAGCAGCAGCAGGTCTCAACATACACACAAAGGGAAAAGCAAAATTCTCCGATACAACACAACATACACAAACTAAATCACACTTGACGGTGAAGTTTTGGAAAATGTAAAAACCTTCATATATCTAGGCAGCAAAATTTATGAGCACGTTTGGATCTGATTTAGATGTAAAGGCGCGGATCGCCCAAGCAAGGGCTGCATTTCTACAACTGAACAACATCTGGAACTCAAAACGACTATCAACCAAAACCAAAGTGACGATTTTCAATACGAGTGTCAAGATAGTCCTACTGTATGGGAATAAAACTTGGAGAACCACAAAAGCCATCATCCAGAAGAAATAAGTGTTTATTAACAGTCGTATACGCAAAATAATTCGGATTCGTTGGCCAGACACCATCAGCAACAACGTACTGTTAGAGAGAACAAACCAGATTGTAGTGGAGAAGTCCACTTGTCAGTGACTTCATGGATTTCTTCCATGTTTTGGTTTTGCCGCCCTAACTTTCTTCCAAGAAGCGGTGGAAGTGGATAGGACACACACTACGAAAAGCACCTAACTGCGTCACGAGACAAGCCCTCACATGGAACCCTCAAGGCAAAAGGAAAAGAGAAAGGCCAAGGAACACATTACGCCGAGAAATAGAGAAAGATATGAGAGGAATGAACAAACATTGGACAGAACTGGAAAGGGAAACCCAGGACAGAGTAGGTTAGAGAATGTTAGTCAGCGACCTATGCCTAACTGGGGCTAAAAAGTGTAAATAATAATAAAAAGTCAAAGCAAACCCATAATCTTGTAGGCAATGATGCTGTCGCTATGTGTGAGATTTGAACCAAATTCATAATTTAACATTGAATAGTGAAATACAATGAAAAAGTGTTCTCTATTTTACTAGCTACATTGTATTTAACACTATGAATGAGTAATAGATAATAACCCACATTAGACATATGGTGAGTTTTAAAGAGTTAACAATGAAAAAGTCATGAACATGTCCAATTCATTAATCTCATCTTTACCACAGAGATAAACTTACCCTGGTTTACCAGGAATTTCATCATCATCATCATCGTCCTCGTCGTCATCATCATCATCATCATCATCATCGCCATCCTCAGCACTTTCATTATCATCATCCATGTCAACAACTGGTTCTTCATCATCTTCAAATTTATGATATGTGCTTTTTGGTTCAATGGATTTTTTCATTTTTTTCTTAGACTTTGAATGATGCGTTGACAAATCGATATTATCCATTTCTTTTTCCGGGAAAAATGAAAATAAGAAAGATGAAAACAAATACAAAATGAATCATTGGCCATATATTTAAACAAACTTGTAAAGCAATCATTATATTAGATGGGTAAGGGTTAGATAAAAAAAACTGCCCACTTTTATATTCTCTAACCATAAGCACGCCTCACTCAGATAAACTTTATTGACTACGGTATCGCCACTGAGTATATGGGGGTTAGCGACCCTAACCCGCAGAAAGCCAACTCGCTAAAGTAAAAAAATGCTAACCGGCAAACTAATTCGCTGATTGGCAGTCTATGCTCCCCTTAGGAGTAATAAGGTGTAAGTAAGTAAGTAAGTAAGCAAGTAACTTTTATATTCTAATGTAAAACTGTCATCAAGAACACGATTTATCTAGTTCAGCTTATAATCAGAATGTAACGTGTGAAAAGGATTGTGATACCCCTACAACTACTAATACTATTCAGTTTATTAGATTGAAACTTAGTAGAATAAGCTTTGATAATAATAAACAGACACGGGAATAGAAATAAAACACTAAACACTAATCGGCATGCATATAAATACCTAATTCAATCAATCAATCAACAGCAACGTATAATCTCGTACGTATGTACATCGGTTCAGGTTGCCATACCATATTAGCACAGAGAGTACCTAATTATACACCTATCAAAATCCCCGACCATAGCTGCTACCTTGATGTGGTTGGCTGGAACATATGTTCCTGAAGGTTCTACAATGCCAGCCAGAAAGGTCGATTGGAGAACGATGAGACTAAAAGCAGCTACTCAAGGTGTGAGGGCGAAGTCGTACTGCTGACTGAAGAGAGGTGTGACAGCAGTAAGGTGTTTCCCTCGGAAAACCAGCATCTGCAGGATGCTACCTTCTCACAAGGAAGGAAGTGTTGGAAAAGGTCGACCCTAAAAATGTAACACCTCACCCTACCTCACGGATTTCCATGTCCGGCGGTAAGGGTGCCCACTAAGGGCTTTTAAAAGCGGAGCTAATACTCACAAAACCTTTCTTAAAAAGGCCGTGCGTGACCGGCCTCAAGCAGTTGTCCCTTGGGCACTTCGGTCACACTCCCAGGTCGTTAAGACGGACGCTAATATACCTTGATTTTCAGGTTCCTCAAGAAACAATCTTCCACGGTGTGGGCAGCCGGGAAATGACAACCGCCCTCATACCCGTACAGCGCAAGAGACAAAACTGGTCACAATCAAATCCTTCCTAACTTATCAAAATCATTGGAATATACATGTAGTTTGATTTATTGAAAATTTATAAAATTCCATACATGTCAATAAAAAAGATCGACAGACATTTCAAAAGAGACAATCAAACATAGTCATAGCTCAGAATGAGGATTTTGATGATATATATATATATTCTACTCTCTGAGTTAGATGATCTAATCGAGAAAATTCATAACTGCGTTGGGCAGTTGTTGTAGCTTTATATTATGAAATTCCACAGTAATCTGTGTGCACAATACCCTTAATTAGGCATCAAACTCAGAACTCATAATAAATTCACAATAAGATGATGGGGAAAATTTGTAGCTCAGGTGGATGATTGATTGTGGTGTTTCGTTCTCTGAGCTGGATGTTTTGGTTGCGGAGCTTTCATTGTTCTTCAGATAGAATTGAAGTTTGTGCTGATGATGTTGTGTTCAGAAGAAGAGCAATGAAAGCTCTACAATTAAAACATCCAGATCAGAGAACGAATTCACAATAACAAATAACTCAGTCCAACGACATGAAAATCTTTGAATAAACATAGTAAATAATAATTTGAATACATGATATGTATATGGAGAAGATAACTAACATAGAATGAAGCATATATACATGTATATAATCGAGTGAATAAAATCAAAATTTACACAAATATATATTGGAAAATTCAACTTGACAAATTTGTAAAGAACACGTGTTAGGCTACTCATCCAATATCCTAAGAGAATTATTGGTTAATTTTATGGTCGTCCTAGATATCAATGTCACGTACTCCAAGTTAGACAACAAAACGAGTCCTGATGTTGTTGATTCAATGAACAACTCATGTTTTGTCCTATTGTTTAAGGCTCGTCGACTGGATGACACATCGAGGTTTGAAGTGGAACGTACTGGTCTCGAGCCTCAACGTTAACATCCACACTAAGATGAAAATACATTCACAACCAATGAGTGGAAGCAAGCAACTTACATTCTACTGCTAGTCGCAATTTAAATCTTTTCACAATGGTCATGTTTATTTGTAACCGAAAAGAGTTGAATTTTACCCCGTGTAAATTGTAGCTCACTTCTCGATACTTCTGAATCGGGTAGTAAGGAGTATTAGTCATAATATACTCTCTAACGTATAATTCTAAGCCAACCACCACAAAGAACAAATGGAAAGTTCTTCAAGTAAATCATATGGTACTTTTCTCTCTATCTCTCTCCCTAGATAAATATTTCAATGCATTTGCTTCTTGTTTATCGGAAAAAAAAATGCCAGAAAAAAATAAAAGAAATAAGTGAACATGATACCTGAAAAGTCATATTCCTTGGCATCCTCTTCTTCATCGGCTGAATCCTGATCATCATCATCATCATCATCATCCATGAAATCTTTGTCACTGAATTCCGGTTCAGCTGAACAGACAAACAAACAAACAAACTTATACATCAAAGAATGGGATAATCAGTGATATGGTGGAGAAAATTTTTAGCTAAGGTAGATGATTGTGTAATGGTGTTTCGTTCTCTGCGGTGGATGTCGGTTCGGTGTAGAGAGGCTTTCAGTGTTCTTCTTCTGAACAACATCATTATCATGAAAGCTTCACAACCCAAAACAGTCAGTCAGTCAGTTGCAACGTAGAACTTCGTATGTATATACATAAGTTCATGTTGCCACACCATCACATTAACACAGAGACGCAAATGTCAAATCAAATCACATAGTGATAAAGATAGTAGAGGTATTAATGGTAATGAAGAAGACTAGGGTTTGAAGATATTATTCAAGAAATATAATTCAGTGAGATAAGGTTAGAAAGACAGAGGTAGAGGTGCTGACGATTCCAGAAGATTAGGAGTTGAGAGAGCACAACGAATGGATGCACCTGTGCCATTGCAAACGGCTTTGAGCCATTCAAGGTCTCTAACCATCGGTGACTATCGTCTCGCGGACCCCAACCACGTAGCCTACATCTACCAACATGACCCAGTCCACTTGTCAGTGACTTCATGGATTTCTGCCATGTTTTGGTTTGGCCGCTCCTAACTCTCTTCCAACCTACTCCTACACCACAAAACATAGCTCGTCGAGGTAGTCGGTGGTTAGCCAAACGTAACACATGTCCCAACCACCTCAACTGATGAAAATTCACCATTTCACGTATTGATCTGCCATCCTTACCCAGTACTCGTTTCCTAACAACAGCATTGCTTACTCGGTTGTCCCACGATATACAAGCAATGCTTCTTAAACATCGATGGTCGAATACTAGTAACCTACGAACATCTTCTACTCTTAACGGCCAATATGTTTGTTAGAAGTGATCAAATTAAATCGAACAAGTTCAGCAATGGCTACTAGTCAAAGTGACTTACAAATATTATGTACATTATAACTGCATTATATGAGACGGCTGAAGGCGATCAGTAAAAACTACTGAATACATAATGTTAATTCGTGATTTACATAGTTCTGACTAACATACACTGCGTCAAATTACGCAACTATCAGAAATACTAGATTTTTTGAATGTCACAAACTAAAAACGTTGAAATGACTGTAAAAAAATGATGGCGTGTATAACATTTGTAAAAAGTACATCGTTGAATCAATAAACATACCATCATTTTCCCATTCTTCACCAGGGGGAAACAGACTCTTTTCATGTTTAGCTGTAGAATTTTTTGAAGAAAAAATAAACGCACGTCATTAGTAAAAGTATTCTCTACACATAGAAATCATGAATCAATCATTGTTAGACTATCATTAGAAAGCTGGAAGCACTGGACAGCCATCTTGTCCAAGAATGACACTCGTCAGCAGTGCACATGCAAGACTCGTAGGATTCGAACCCAAAACCTTCAAGTCTTGCGCGCGAACGCCTAACCTCTGAATTCAGAGGTTTCCAATGGTTTTTAATGGTGGTCTAACAATGATTAATTCATGACTTCTATACGACAATGATCTCCATAACTCTGACTGAAAAAAAGCATTTTCTACTGTGAAATGGTTAATAAATTTAACGAGAGAAAAGAAAAAAACCCAGTTGATTTCTTGAAATTGAGAATCATTCTCCATGCTTATGATTTTCTTGTTACAAAATATTGACAACTACATACACTAAGATTAACATGACAACAGTTAAGAGGAGTTGATTGAGTAACACATTGAAATTATATTTTCCATTTATCGCTCATAATGTGGTGCGAGCTACTTATAAGTAGTATATGACGTGAGTAAAAACGTAATGTCTGGCAGCCGAAGATGGAAGAAGATCAAGAAAGGAGGAGTTAGAAGAACACAATGGAATTTGTATGAAACGCATGAACAGTGACAATGGATTGATGTTTTGCAACAGGAACAGTCCAGTTCGATATGATGGACTGATATTTTGCAAATTAACAATTTACGATATGGTTTTCCGATTTTACTGAGTAACTCTGTAATTGTCGTACAAGTACAATACGGTTGCTCCACCTGTGTTCTCGTTCACTACAATAATACTATCGTTTGGTTGACTACATGATACTGCGTATTCCATAACCAATCTACAGCCGAGATTCAATTAAACATTCTAGTAAAGCCAATTGTCATACTCTTTGGTATATTCACAGAAAGTTTTTTTTTAAAAAAAAACTCTACTTCAAAGTTTTATTTATTTCCTTCGATTGAATCTAGGCTTAACAGTCAGTCCAATTGTTAAGATGTTTCGCAAATTCCTTGTCAAAGTCTTCGGAAGGCTGAGAAAGGCTCAAAACTATTTCGTCTACGGACTTTTTTTAGAAAAGCCCACAATTATGTCACAATCTGATTGGGTAACTATCTATTTTGTTACCTTAAAAATATCAAGATCATCAATGATTTAGAAAAAATACTCTTGCTTTCCATATGGAAATTAACTTTGGTATGAACGTTTTTCCTCTCATTCCTGTTTACAGCTGGCATGTAGGAATATTCTGTGAAACTGGGAAGCAGTTATAAAGTTAGCGTCAGGCATTCAAATGCCAAACTTATCATCTAAGTACTAAAAGAGACAACAAAAAAGGACCTTATATAAGAGAATCATTATAGTAAGTAAGAAGTCCATCTTACTGTTTCGAACGCAAACGTAAACTAAAGAAAAATTTGTAACTTTTCAAAATAACTCAGTAGTATTGTGTCCTAAATTGGACATTGTTTCGAAACGTTGTATATCACCACAAAGAACAAACATGGATGAGTGATCTATAGACATTATATAAACCAGTAATTGCTCGTAGAAAAATTGATGTTCAATATATGCATAGGTTTCTCAATGCATATACATATATCAGGTAACCAATGTTTGATAGTGATGACATTGATATAAAATGATTTATATATATATATATATAACGTTTCTTTTGAGGAGCTTCGTTCAATTTTAAAAGCAATCTCTAAATGAAGTACAATTCGCATGTTTTTTTTTAAACGAAACCAAATACTGATCGACAACAACAACTACTACTACTGAGAAGACTGAGGCAGGTGAGGAAGATTGTATTATGCTAATTTACAATCTTAGTCAATTAAAAACGAAAACATCACATTGAACAGGCTATTTGCACACCATCTTTCAGTCATGGCTTCCAACACTCAATCCTTCTTCCATTCCTGTTGTTGCTTCCTTTCCTTCCTGTTGATACTCCATTTACTTCTTGCTTTTGATCCATTTGCTTTCCGTTTTCCTCTTCTGACCGTGAGACTTTTTCTTTCACGTCCCTTCTTATACTACTTATATCGTTCGTATTATAAGTAGCACACACCACACTACTACCACAAAGTAGTGTGTTATATCTGGACGAAGATTAAATTAACAGCAACTTGGAGAAACTGTAGCACCTCACATATATTTTGTGCTTTAATTATTGTGGAGTGATTATCGTATAAATAATCTTATTATATAATTATCAGGTCTATATATACGTATGTTTCTTTTGTCATAAGCTTTCTATTAACCTGAATATCATACAATTTACTAGGCCTATTTTCTTGCCAGTTTGTTACTTACAGTCTCTACTGTACACACAAAAACACAGCCACTTTTGGCTTATTCAACTATGTCTATTTATCATTTGACATTAAGTGACATGATGCAATCTGGTTTTATATGTATATACATATATAAATGCATGTCTGATATAAAATAACCTATCTTCGACTAACAATCGGTGGACTTGTTGTGTTCTTCCTCAGTGTTTTGGGCTAGTTAGTTAGTATGGAGTGTAGAGCAGTTCTCTCGTTTCGACTAAATAAAGGTTATCATTGGTCAATGTAGATGACAGACAATAATAAGTAAGCAAGAAATTGATAAACTAAGGTTACAAACTTACCAAGATAAGCATCGAATTCAGAATCAGCAACTGAATCACTGTCATTATCATCACTATTACCATCATCATCATCATGATCTTGTGATTTCTTTTTAGTCTTTTTCATATGACCTGGTTGACTTTCCAAAAATTTGAAATAACTAGGAAAAAAAATGGTATAACACAAAAATCAACAATGGTAAAGTTAGTAGATCTTATTTTTGTTAGGATATTCATTTAATATCTTAAGAGAATTATAGGTCAATTCCTATTGGTTAATTTCTACTG